GAAAAGGGAGGGAGGATATTAAGAAAGATGATTATGATGTTTTAGGAAAAACATGTCATATTTCTTATAATTAACTAACTTATCTAACTTCCTTAATCTAATCAAATTAATTAAATAAGTCTTATATTAAAGACCGAAGTAGATTGTACATTCTCATTGTTATTTATCAATCTTTAGAATTAGCAATAGGCTTAGCATTAAATTAGGCTTTATTAGATTTGATTGGATATTAGATATGGATGAGATTGAATAAAAATCTAATTTAATTTTCTTACCTAATTAAATTAGTTTACAGGGAGAATCCCATAAAAAAAAAGTTTAAAATTACCATGTCTTAAATGAGGTTTGATTCTTACATTTTAATAAGTTTTTACAATACTTAACTTACAAATAACAATACTTTTTTTTAAAAAAAATTTATTTAGCATTTAGTAATTTCAAGTTTTTTTCCTGATTCTCCCTAGTTTATATAGTATTTTTATTTTTATTATATAGTAGTATATTTCAAAGGGAGAAGGTCACCATAGTGCCTTGAAACTCGTGAAATTTCTCATTTCATGGGTTTTAGTGGAATAAGGTACTTGTTAATTCTCTATACCAATGTTGTGAACTCTTATACTTTACTTATAAATAGCTATGTTCTATCAATAATAAGTTAATTTTTTTGAAGGTAATTGTTAATTTCCTGTACGATTGTTGTATATTATTATGCTTTACCTTTTTCAGGGAGAAAAAAAGGCACGTGTATCCTCTTGTTTTCAAGACGCTATTAAACCCTAAATATGGATACTTTCAAATATGAGTTCCCCACTATATGGGTGACCAGCTCTTTTCACTAATCTCAATTCTGTTTTAGGACTGTGTTTTGTCTAAGCCAAAAAAAAAAGATTCATAAGGTTGCTTGTTAATTCCCCATTCCCGTGTTACGAATCCTTCTGCTTTACTTGTTTATTATTGTATTTTAGTACTCCCTCCGTTCCTTATTATAAGAGACAAATAACTAAATTACGTTGATAAAAAAAACAGTTAAAATTAGTTGAGCACAATTAATATGTAAAAAGTATAATGGCTTTTCCAACAATGCCCCTATTAATAAGGAGAGAGAGTATGAAAGAGAATAATTAAATTATTAAAAGAAAGAGAAGTGGGAGGGAGAAAGAATATGAGTTGGAGACAAAATAAATAGGGGTAAAATAGGACATCAATACAAAAAAATAGAGACAACTTTTAAGTGTCTCTTATATATGGGAACATGTCATAAACATCAAATGTCTCTTATAATAAGGAACGGAGGGAGTAGTTTCAAAACTGTATGTGAATATTTTATTTTAGAGTAAAATATTCTGGTTATCCTTTTAATTTGTATCAATTACACGGATCTCCCTTTTATTTTAAAAATATACTGTTTAATCTAATAAGTTAACACTGTTAAAAATATTCTTAAAAAATTTTTAAAAAATTATTTTTAACTAAGATTTATATTAAATAAATTTTACTTACTATATTTTACCCTTCATTCTAATAAATTCTAAAATAATGTTTTTACAGTTAAATAAATTTCATTTATTTAAGGCAAACATAAAATACTTGATTAAAAATTTAACTATTTTTTTAATAAATATATATATACTTTGACTAAACTTGTTCATAAATTTTTGAAATAAAGATGTGTTTAAAAATTTTGAATTATAAATTTAAATAATTTATAAAATCTTTTAAATTTATATTACTTAAACTCTACGATAAACAAAAACTATGTATGTGAAATATGTTTTTATTATTTAAAAGAAATCAAAGTAAATAATTTGTAATGAATATGATAAAATATTAAAATTATAAAGTTTTATGATTTAGATCAAAATTAATAAATTTTATAAGATATTAGAAATTTTAAAAATATACATATTAGAATTATTTTTATTTTATAAAAAATATTTTTTTCAGAAAATATAAATGTATAAATAACTATGATATTAAAAAGGGGCATTTTGATTTAAAAAAATAATTTAAAATCAAACTTAACGGTCAACTAATGATTTGAATGGATGAAAATTGAATATTAAATATAAGAGGGAAGTTTGTGTAACATATATTTTAATTGTAAGGTAGATTTATATATGTTTTCAGAATAGAAAAAAAATTTCTATAATTAAAATAAAATAGAAAGATGGTCCGCGTACTTTACTTTTTATTTTACTTTATAAAAATTAAGTAGTTGGTCTAGTAATGATCAGACTTTTATGGGGGCAAGCATCGGGTCAAGGGGTTCAAATATTTAGTCACCCTTGACATGCCTGCCAATGGCCGAAGCTTGAAAATTGGTCTGACCTGTAGTGGCCGAGCCCCAATGATCGATAGCAGTGACTCCGGCGTTGGTGACAGAGTTCCGGCAGTGGTGGCTCTACCAACGTTGACGGAAGGAGTTTTTCATCCTAAGGGGAAAAAAAAACAGTTATGTAAATGTGCTGTAAATTTTCATTTCATTTGAGTGTCTTGGAGTGAAATTTCTACATTTGGCAGCATTTTAGTGGAATAAGGTTCCTTCCATGAAATTAGGATGTAGTCATTCTCCCTATTTTATTGGGGAGGAAGTTTTTTACCTATATCAGCTCCCTTGGAGGAATTTCTCACTGCTTCTACTCAGGATGCTTATTTAACGGTTATAGTCAAAATAATAAGTACTGGAACCTGAATTGTAATTAATGATCAACAATTGGTCATGTTTTAAATTTCTCACTGCTTCTACTCAGGATTTGCATTCCGCGATTTACTCATCACCATGACAGTCTGGTCTCCGCTGGTCAAGTTATGAATTTCCAACAGTACCCGGCCCAGCGGTTTTCCAGTACGAGTTCTATCCACAACGCCCTCGTCTTAGGACAATCCCCAAGGGTATGATGAAGATTTTCAGGTGCGTCGTTGCATTAGCATTAGTGCCTAGGCCTCCTCAGACGTCCTTCATTGGTTAATAACCTGACGTGCAGAGCCAGCCACATAAACATTTTCCCCCACCATAGGCTATTTTCCAAACCTTCGACGACATGGCGTCACTCGCTGTCTCATCATTCATGATGGCATTATAAGCCGATTCAAGGCAAACAAGCCACTATAATCATGCCTCCACTTTACTCTCCACCGTGCATGATCTATCACCACTACTAAAATATACACGTATGTGCAGCGGTTATAAAAAAACTGCTACAATCTGTACGAGTTGTAGCTCTTCTAGAGTAAACCGCTATAAATTTGCAACACTTTGACCGCATAGGAGGTTATGGCGGTAGTTTGTAGCCAAAAAAACAAATGGCTACAAAATTGCAGCCACTTGGTGCCATCTTTGCAGCGGCTATGCCAAAGGAACAGCCACAAATAAGGCGCAGGTGATGCCGCGTTTATAGCGAGCACTTGGTAGCAGTCATGGACAAAGCATAAAAAATCAAACTGAACACTAAATCAGTTGAAGTAGCAGTTCAATGACAAATGGTTAGACTAGAGACAACTTAGGATCAAACCGATTATATTAAAATAATTTAATTTAATCAAAAATAATAAAACACAATAACATTAATAATCATTAATAACAATATACGAGGAAATATAACAATAGTATGGGTGTTTATGGGACTAGACGGAGACATCCCGTTCCCATAGCGTCCCATCCCAACTGAGGATGTCCCATCTCTCTCTGTTTTTTTTTAAATTTAAAAACTAACTATACAAGGAGTGTAAGAACTTATAATAAAACTATGTGAGAAAAATAGATAAAAATGAGAAAACAATGGCAAAGAAAAATATTTTTTGTAATCTTGAGAGACAAAAAAATAAACAAACCTAAAATGTGCCCTACAAAAATATCATGTAACCCATACAATAACAACTTATAAACAAAAAAAAAAAATAACAATTGATAGATATCATTACCAAATACAGTAGTAAATAAAATAAATATATAACAACTTAAAATAAAGATAATATATCTAGATGGAACCGTGACCGGGAGAGGGATGGGACACCCCCATCCCACTTTCGTCCCATCCCATCCCAAAATGACTGGGATAGGGATAGGATAGTTGAACGCCCCTAAATAATAGTTTGATTTTAAGAATAACAAAGTATAATAATATTGAAAATTTTGATCTTTACGATTCATCAATAACTAAAATTAATAATCATTGATACTAAAATCATTATTAAAATTCATTCAAATCTATAATAACTGAGATATAGGAGTTTAATTGAAAAAAAAAAAGACTAATAGCAATATAATCATTCAAAACGATTCATCACTAGTTTTTACCGGTTTACTCTCGATTCGATACCGATTCAACTCTTGACCAGTTCAATACCCAAACCAAATAGGTGAACTGGCCAGTTCAGTTTGATTTTTTGTTCCTTAGTTATGGGAGACAAATCACTGCAAAAATTCAAAAATCTCGAACATTGTAGCGATTATGGTGAACCATTATAAAGTTGGTTAGAGAACTACTACAAGAGACTTCACGCTACGATTAACCACTGCAAAGATTAAAAAAATTTCCTGCTAATTTTTTTTGTAGCAGTTCTCTAACTACAACTACTGTTGTCATGGTGTGCTCAACTCGTTCCGAAGTTGGCAGCAGTATGTACAACCGCCACAAACAACTACAACGGATTTGACCATGCAAGAGCTGCTATTCAATCGTTTGCCACGATAGATTTTGCAGCGATTACACAAGTCACTACTGTCAAGTATAGTGTAACTTCTGTTAAGTTATATTATTTCTCAACGTATTTCAATTAGGCTTTCTGTTATGTATTTCACCTGACCTCTAGTGTATATATATCCCATTTTCTCATTAATGAAATTATCTTATCATTCTTCCACATACGGTCACATGGTATCCAGAGCCTTTTGACTTTTCCACTTTCTTTTTCTCTCTCTTCACTTTAACCATTAGGTCCTCGTTTTCTCCGCTTCCTCTTTTCCTTCTTCTTTCTTCGATATTCTCCAAGCTCCATCCATGGTGTCTTCTGCTTCCTCCGAATCTGCTATTGATCAATCCAATCCATATTATATTCACCCCAACGAGAATCCTGCTCTTGTTCTTGTCTCTCCCCCTCTCGATGGATCAAACTACCATGGCTGGTCTCACGCTATGCGAATGGCCCTGTTATCAAAAAATAAGCTCAAGTTCGTCGACAGTGCTCTTTCTCGTCCCTCATCCACCGACAAATTTTTTCCGTGCAACAATCTTGTGCAAGGCTGGTTGACCAAGTCTCTCACTCCAACAATCGTAAAGAGCATTCTCTGGCTTGATAGTGCTTCAGAGACTTGGAAAGATCTGCAATCGAGGTACTCCCAATCTGATATCTTCTGCATTGCTGAAATTTAGGAAGAAATATATAGTTTGCGACAAGGTTCTTTAACTGTTAGTGAGTATTATACTCAGTTGAAAATTCTGTGGGATGAACTCTCAAATATTCGTCCAATCAAAGCATGTTCTTGTGGATCCACTGATAGTGCTCAAGCTCATATAGAAAAGGACTATGTGATTCGGTTCTTGAGAGGATTGAACGAGCAGTACACCTCTGTAAAGTCTCAGATCATGCTCGTTGATCCGCTTTCGCCTATTAACCGCGTTTTCTCTCTTGTTTTGCAACAAGAACAAGAACTTCATCTCTCTGTTCCTTCCACTCCTACGGTTTTATTGGCCAAAGGTCCACCTCGCTCTGCCAAACCGCATAATGGTCTGTCTAAACAGTGTTCATACTGTGGAAAGCCTCGACACACTGAAGAGACTTGTTATAGGAAACACGGATTTCCCCCTGGTTTTAAATTTCGGTCTTCTGCTGCTGTGAATAATCTTTCAGTTCCAGACTCTGGTATTGTTCAAGCAAATTCCACTGCAAAGCCTCCCCTGCTCCCCACTCCTCCATCAACAACTGTCTCCACAGCTTCAGTTCTTCCTCAACTTTCGTCTGAACAATATCAACGCCTCCTCAGTCTTCTTGCCTCGCCTCAGACACCTTCTTCAATTAATCACATCACCTCCTCTCCTATACCATCTTCAGGTAAATGCAATTCTATTTCTACCACTACTCTTGTTACTTGGATCATTGATTCAGGTGCCACTGATCACGTTTGTCAAAGTAAGCTTACCTACAGGTTCTCATGCTATCTCTACCATATCTGGCACGGTCACTATATCTCATAATCTAGTTTTGACTAATGTTCTGTTCCTTCCGAATTTTTCCTTTAACATCATTTCTGTCTCCTGTCTAACTTTGAGTCTCAACTGCTTTCTCATGTTTTCTCGCTATTGGTGCCAGATACTCTTAATCAATCCTTTTCTGATGATTGGTTCAGCTAGGCTGCTTGAAGGGCTATACATTCTTGATGCAGATATGTCATTACCTCAATCCACCTCCTAAGTTCATTGTGCTGCTACTTCCTCTGATTCAGGTCACACCCTTTGGCACCTTCGATTGGGTCAAATTTCCCATTCTATCTCTTCTGTATTGCATAAATCATTTTTTGAAATTCCTTATACCCCTCAACCCCTTCTTTGTGATACTTGCCATTATGCTAAGCAAAAACGTCTTGTCTTTCCTGTAAGCACAAGCTCAAGCAATAAAATTTTTGATATGATTCATGTTGATATATGGGGTCCTTTTTCTGTACCATCTGTCCAAGGTTACAAATATTTCCTCACTATAGTTGATGATTTTTCTCGCTACACCTAGATTTCCCTCATGAAAACTAAGTCTGAAACCAGAACACATCTTACAAATTTTTTTGCCTTTACTGAAACTCAATTCTCCACAACTATTAAAATTCTAAGATCTGACAATGGTGCAGAATTTTTACTCACTGATTTTTATAAATCAAAGGGGGTTATTCACCAAACCTCTTGTGGTAATACACCCCAACAAAATGGTATTGTGGAATGTAAACACCAACACATACTAAATGTTTCTAGAGCTTTAATTTTTCAATCTCAACTTCCTATTTCTTACTAGTCTTTTGCTGTCATGCATACCACTTATATCATTAATCATCTTCCTTCTCCTATTTTACACAATCATACCCATTTGACAAACTTTTCAATCACTCTCCTTCCTATTCTCATTTTAAAGTTTTCGGTTGTCTTTGTTTTGCCTCTACTTTCCCCACTCATCGTTCTAAATTTGATCCGAGAGCAAGAAAATGTGTCTTTCTTGGTTTTCCCATAAGGTCCAAGGCTTTCATCTTACTTGATTTACATAATCATCAAATTTTTCTTTCATGAGATGTCATCTTTCGTGAGCTTGTCTTCCCATTTAAGACTAATCCCACCATTCAGCCTTCTTCTTCAATTCCCACCATCCAATCTCCATCTCCCATTCTTGATGATGATCCTATACCGTCAATTTCTCCTCCTTCTCCTTCTCTTTCTCCCCCTGCTTTATCGTTTCAACCACACAATTCTCCACTTATTTCTGTCTCTCAACCTAATTTTACATCTCAATGTAATCCTTCTCCTGTTACCTCCTCCCATTCTCATCCTGATCATCCTCCCATCTCACAGCCCCTTCGACGCTCATCCTGACCTCATCATCCTCCTACATATCTGCATGATTATCATTGTGCCCTATTTTCTTCTACTGACCAATCATTAGGTACAAGTGGTTCTCGTTATCCTTTGTCTTCTATTTTATCTTATTCTACTCTTTCTTCAGCTTACAAAAACTTTGTCTTAGTTGTTTCTACTATTCCTGAACCTAAAACCTATCATCAAGCTATGAAACATTCTGAGTGGAGGGAAGCCATGAATGCAGAAATCCATGCTCTTAAACAAAATCAAACCTGGACACTTACCTCTTTACCACCCGGCAAGAAACCCATTAGTTGTAAATGGGTGTTTAAAACCAAATTCAAAGCCAATGGTGACATTGAAAGATATAAGGCTCATTTAGTAGCTAAGGGTTATACTCAAACTGAGGGTCTTGATTATTTCGACACTTTTTCCCCTGTGGCTAAGATGACTACTCTTAGACTTTTACTCGCTATTGCTACTGCTAAAAAATGGTTCTTACATCAGCTTGATGTTAATAACACTTTCTTACATGGTGATCTTCATGAGGAAGTCTATACTTAAACAGGCTAGCAGGCAATGGTACTCCAAACTGTCCACAGCCCTATTATCTTACAGCTATACACAATCTGTGTCTGACCATTCCTTATTTTTTAAAGTTGTCTCTTCTGCATCTTTTACTGTCATCTTGTTGTATGTAGATGATGTTGTATTGGGAGGCAATGATATCTTTGAAATCACTAGAATCAAACAACTTCTTGACAAAGCATTCACTATCAAAGATCTAGGTGAACTTAGGTATTTTCTTGGCCTAGAACTGGCACGCTCAAAAGAGGGCATCTTTCTCTCCCAACGAAAGTTTGCCTTAGAACTTCTTGATGACACTGGTTATCTCGGATGTAAACCAGCTTCTACACCCATGGATCCTCATCTCAAACTTTCAAAGGACAAAGGTTCTCTACTTGATAATCCGCTGTCATACAGAAAACTGATTGGTAAATTGCAATATCTGACTACCACAAGACCTAATTTAAGCTTTGTCACCCAACAACTTAGTCAATTCATGTCTGCTCCACGTGACACTCATTTGCAAGCAGCTCATAGGGTCTTACGGTACATTAAATCATCACCTGGTGCTGGTTTGTTCTTCTCTTCTACCTCTGATCTACAGCTCAAAGCCTTCAGTGATTCAGATTGGGCTGGCTGTGTTGATTCCAGACGTTCTGTCACAGGATTTGCCATCTTTCTTGGTTCTTCCTTAATTTCATGAAAAGCCAAAAAGCAAGCTACCGTATCTAGATCATCTTTAGAAGCTGAGTACCGTGCCTTAGCCTCCACAACTTGTGAACTTCAGTGGTTGCTTTATTTGCTGAATGACTTTGATGTTTCTTACCTTCGTCCTGCTGTCTTATACTGTGATAATCAGTCTTCTCTTCAAATAGCAGCTAACCCCACATTTCATGAACGCACAAAGCACATAGAACTTGATTGTCACCTAGTTCGAGAAAAAGTGCAAGCTAAAGTCATTCACTTGCTACCTGTTAAATCATCTGACCAGCTTGCTGATGTTTTCACCAAGGCTCTTCACTCTACACGTTTTCATGAGCTCATTTCCAAGCTTGGCATGAAGAACATACATGCTCAAGCTTGCGGGGGGTGTCAAGTATAGTGTAACTTCTGTTAAATTATATTATTTCTCAATGTATTTCAGTTAGGCTTTCTGTTATGTATTTCACCCAAGGAACAAAAAACCGGACCGGGTATTGAACTGGTCGAGGAAGTGGTTTAAGGGTTAATGGTTAGACCGAGGTCAGACCGGGGTCAGACCGGTTATATTAAAATAATATAATTTAATTAATAATGACAAAATATAACAACATTAATAATCACTTATAACAAAATATAAAAAAATACAGCAATAATTTAGTTACAGCACATAACAAAATAATTGAAAATATTCATCATTACAATCTTTTAATCATTAAAATTCAAAATATTATATTTGATATAAAAATATTTGATTATAAAATTTTTACGTAGTATAATAAAGAAACTGCATTCATCTCATTGTTTTGCAAGACGGTCATTTTTTTTATTATAAAATATGTATTTACAATTTACATGTCATGGAAGATAAAAAAAATTAAATTAAATGAGACTTTGAAAAACGAAAAAAAATGGACAGAACACATTATACTAGGCTTGCAAAATAAAGGCTATACATCGGGTCTAACACTTGACTTTAATTTGCACAGGCTTTTTATTTTGTTGGACAGAACACGTTATACTGCACCTCAGCTTCTGTTTCTTTCTCCACCGTCTTATTTTTTTGATTTTTTCGACTTCATGTCTCTTCTCCTTCCACCTTCCTCCTCCCCCCCCTCTCTCTCTCTCTGAAAAACTCACTTCTTCTTCAATGGGTTTCAAACAAAAGCAACAAGGATGTGGCTCTCTACAAAAACAATCGGCAAGCTCCTCTCCTTCTCTTTGTCTTTCCCTTTCATCCTGCTCTTCCTTTTCCTCGCTTTCATTCTTCTTCTTTCAAATCTGATACGTTTTATCTGTGGCTCTTCTCTTTTTGCCTCTTCTTCCTCCCATAGGACATGGAAAAAAGGAAAAGATCGGACAACCCACCTCAGCTGGCGGTTATCCGGTTTTTACTGGTTTAGCCGATTCGTTTCCGGTTCCTTTTATGCCCGGTCTACCAACCAAACCAGACTGGACTGAAAGACCGGTTCACCGGTTTTTCGGTTGAAACGGCCGGTCCGGTCCGGGTTTTTTTACCTTGATTTCACCGGACCTCTAGTGTATATATATCCCCTTTTCTCATTAATGAAAATTATCTTATCATTCTTCCACATACGATCACAACTACAAATGTTGTTTGTAGCTAGCACAAATAACCACTACAAATGGATGCCTTTTGTTAGTGCTCCACACTGTCTTGCACATGTTTCAGAGCACCTTTTATTCCTGCCCAGGTATTCGAACCAGAACACTCAATATCGATGGGTGGTAGGAGGTCATTGCCACATTTATATTTAATTCTGATGACCTTCACCCAGAAGTCATTTCGTTGGTGGATGAGCTTCCAACCCGACTCGGCCATGCACGCTTGATTTTGGTTGCGCAGGTGTTTCATACCAAGGCCGCCTTTTTCTTTATCCTTACAGGTATGTATGTTGGTGTTCAGATGTCAAGCCCCACACGAGACCACGGTTAGTTTCGTCAATGCTTTTCATAAACGCTGGCATGGAGATGAGAGGTCTGCATAATATACCCAAGTATAGCTGATGTCACAGCGAAGACCAATATTCAGAGTCCAACAAGCAAGAGTGCATGTGCTTTCCATTGAGTCTTGAACGGACTCGATCTATAATGTCCTCAGAGTTCCCATTACTCACTCACTTGTGGTGAAGTGGGACTCCCAGGAACTTGCCAACGTTAGCCATCATTTGAAATCCAAGGCCATTACTTAGTTCCTGTCTTCTATTGCGGTTAATGTTTTTAGAGAGGGAGACTCAAATTTTACTTGTATTGACTTTCGGGCCACAGCTGGCACAGAAAGTCTCAAGGCAACCTCTTAAAATTTCAACTTGTTGTAAAGAAGCTTCAGCAAATAAAATAACATTATTAGCAAAAAATAAGTGAGATTGGGGGCTGTTCTTACGAAGTTTTATTGGCTTCCAATCTCCTTTGCTGTGGCCTTTTGAATCAAGTAGGCTAACATAAATATCGTCTTCTGCTCACAACAATACTAGCATAAATATGCGTCACGTACCACGATTTTCACTCTTAATTCATAGCCCGAACATGAATGAATTAGGCCTACTTTTCCATCACTTGCACACAGCGAATTTTCTCATTCCATAAACAACCTCTGTAGCCTTCTGTATCTGCTGCTTCTACATACAGAAAACCCAACTTCTTAGCAATCTAGGATGCTCTTTGCCCTGCACCGCCTTTCAACAGGAACCAAACAGTCCACATCATAAAAGGTCATAACCTCTTGAATTAGTGCTGGAAACGTCTTTGCTCCAGTTCTCCGAGAGTTCCATTTGAGGAAATTCCTAAAGAAGTCGCAATGTGGGTCAAGGTTGAAGGCTTCCAAACATGATCTTTTTTTTTTTTTAAGTTGCCCAGAGTATCCTCCCACCCGAATCCGAACGATAAGAGACTAATCTTTCGGGATACTATCAAGCGTCATAGCGGGATCCCTCCCAATAGAATTTTTTTCATATACACCGTCTCAAGGATCAAACCTAAAACATGACGTTTAAAGTGTTTAAGTCCCTTCTACTTGAATCAATACTTATTGGTAGCATGATCCTATTTATTATGAGGATACTTCGCTTCCCCACTCACTTGATCCAGCATGACTATCTCTATGTGAAAGAGTCATTCATCACTGCATTGAGCCTAATGACTGGCCCAGTGTTCCCTGTACTAGGCTGCTGTTTCCTAGCATATCAGATTGGATCTCACCCATTTTATCCTGCTTCTCGAAGGCTTCATCCATGAGCCTCGTATCTGACGGCTTCGAGTCCAATTGTGAGAATAGATTGGACAACACGACTAGTTCCTGACCCACCCCGCCATCCTTGTCAATGGATTGCTTATCACGCACCTGGATTTTATTCCCTTGATGGTTTTCTTTGCCTTGACACATGCCTTTATTTTAAGGAAAAATCGTAAAAATTAAAAAATTACACACAAGAAGCCGTTCACAAAAATTATTATCAAAACCCATACTAATATTGTAATGAGCCCCTATTATAATTTTTCAATTTCAGCGTTTTTTTAATAACAATTTTCCCTTATTTTAATTGCCGCTTTCCTCTTTTGAGACGTTAAGACCCATTCCTTGTTAGCATCATTATTGACATCCACTTCAAACTTCCTCATTTCTCTAGCATTAACCCCCTCAACCTAACCTTTCTTTGACCCCACTTTTCTCGTATCATTTAGCGCTACATCGCTCTAAAACTTTGGGAAAAGCCCCTTTACTATCTCCTGAAGATCCTCCATCACAATAAGCATTCATACACAACATATCCGCCTTATTTATGATCTCTTGCTAAAAATCCGCTTAGCAATTATGTCTAGCCCTTACCATCAGTCCTCCTTTCCGTCCTTTTCATTTCCAGGCAGCTTACTCACTAAATCTTCCTCCAATAGAGATGTCGTCATTGCTTAGGCGTCGGACAATAGTAATTCTTTCTTAAGGTATGTTCTGATGGCGCATTTTCTGTTGCTGCCTCTTCCTTCTCATTCCTATCCTCCTTGATCTTTTCACCACAGTGATCCATATGATGTCCATATCGTCCGCAGTGGAAGCAAACCAGGTGAAGTTCCTCATATTCAATCCTATAGTCTTCTCCAAAGTAATCAAAACCAAGCAACAATGTTTGCTGAACTTCAAAGCAAATTCTCACAGAACCTCTTTTTTTTGAGAAGGCAGTAGTTCAGTCAATCTTTAACGTTTTCCCAACTATACTGTCGATGCGGCAAAGGAATTTGACGCTATAGAGCTCGATCAGCAGATTTGGGAGCCGGATCAATGCCGCTATATGCTTTTGATTTTCTGCTTTCCAATGATTGAATTTTGGTTTCCAACACTAAACTAAAAGGTAATGGTCCGTGATCATCCGTTGCCCTTCCTAAGCATGTAGTCACTATCATCTTGAGTCAGAAAGGACTCAATAAAATAGCCATTATTCAGCAGTGTCACCTTAATAGGATTTTTTGTTTGTAAACCACATTTTCTCCATTTGTTGTCTCATGGATCCAAGCAAGAAGGTCTTCCCTAACAACTTGACAATGACTGAATTCAAATAGGGCCTGCACCATGCAGCATGCTCGCTTTGCTGTTACTCTAAGGTCTCATTTGGTACGAGACATTAAAAATGAGAGACAAAGATTGATATTAAAAGTGTAAAATTATATTAAAAGGATATTTAGTATGAGTAATTGTATGATACCTAGGATTAGACAAACCCATATATGTAAGATTGAGGAATGCCATAAGGGGAGGTGATATTCTCTAATTCTATCTATATGGGATTGCCTAATCCCATGTGATAAGAAATCACTGATGTTAAACATCCTCTTAACATATATTTTCAATCTCAATCATAATCTTTATCCCTCATTTTTAATACTTTGTACCAAACGTAACCCAAGGGTTCATAGTTTACCCTTCTTCCCCCACAGCTCGGGTTCTTCCTCCTCAAATGCTCCCCCCCCCCCCCCACCCCCAAAATCAAGTTCATCACGGCTACATTACTTACTATTCGGCTCATCTTAGCGAAATAGTATTTCCACCCTTTCAAAGCCTCCAGTGCACCCATGTTCATCTCGAGGTAACTAGAGTCACCAAGGCTTAACAACTTGTCTTTTAATTTTGTACAGGTAGATATTTTCGCTATCCCGTTTATGAACCCGTTCTTCTCCTACCGATGTAGTCATCACAGGCGGCCCCCATCCCCACTTGTGAAAGGGGGTCCGCTCCTGTGACCACCTTTGGTCCCTCCTCCTTTTCTACTGACCTTCGCGTCCGTTCGTCATCATAGAGCATGAATCTTGATGCTTGTCAAATCTTTAGTATTTTTACGGTTCAAGGCTATTGTCAACCCTGAATTCTACTTTTTATTTTCCCCTTGAAAAGAAAAATGTATTACTTTACTTGATCTTAAATATAAGAATTAAATAAATAATTTATTTCAATCTTAAATATAAAATTATAATTTTTTGTCTCATTTAATTTTTTTCCCTCAAATTATCTTTATTGTTACACATAATAATATGTGTAGTTAATAATGATAGTTTCTAACATAAATTATTGAAGAAGATTTTTTTTTTTTTTAACATAACAAAAGAGGAGGGGTTTTATGAAAATCATCGCACATTTTTTTGCAGATAACTAATTTTGATAACTAAAGAAAAAGAAGTTGTATGCATACACACACACACACACACACATATATATATATATGAATTCGTTGAGTTCAAAAACAAGCTAAAAGATGTAGCATAAGGCAAAGAAGGTAGCATCATCAGAACAACAAAAAGCAACAATCAGAGCATCCTAACCTTTATGCTTCAGGTTTTCGTTGATCTTTAGGAGAACAAAGCAACTGATCCAGAGAGAGCTAAATCCAAATAGTCATACCAACAAATCAGCGCACACAACAACTGCGAAACAAAAGGGCGGAGAACTTTCATACAAGTTAAGGATGGATTGAAATCCATATAACATCGGAAAATGAACATATATAATAAAATGAAATTACTGGCTAATCTCTTGATATAATAAAAAGAAAATCCATTATATTCTTAAACAACAATTTACATAGGAATTTCAAAATGACTGACGCGAGAAGTTTTAATCCTGGCTGCCACATAATATCTCAAATGTTAGGTGTAGAAGTTCAAGAAATAACTTAAAATGAGTAGTTTACTAAGCCCAAAATAGTAAAAGGTCAAGTAGCTTATACTAAGCCTACAAATAGCCTAAAATTTCAAAATGGAAATTGTGTCAAAACCCCTTGCATTTTAGTTTATAACAGTTGATGGGGAAGGAGGCTTCTTTTGATCTATTTGAGCTAAAAAACATATTCTACATACAAATATATAAGGGAATAGCATGTGGAATTGAATTAAAATCAATTGAATTTAAAATTCAAAAACTAAAGTTTAAAAGGTCAAGTAAACAAGAATCGATAATACCAACAA